AGATCTCTTATATAGGGTTACACCAGTGAATTTAATAAATCACTTATCTATGGGGTATAGGCAAAGCTCATTGTCTCAAGGGATTTGGCACTCTGCTGCTAATAGCAGGCCCAAGTAGCCTGCCTGACCAGGCCAGATGAGGCCTTATGCAAAGGGCTTCCAGTCTAGAGGGGTCTTCTTCAATAGGTGCTATAGCCAGATACTATGGCCCAAAGGGAACGTCCAGGGGAACAGAAGCCGAACACACTTCTCTTATTTCTTCTCCCCTTCTACCTTGGATTTCCACTGTTGAAACCTGCAAGACAGAGAGTGTTGAGCACAGAAAGGGAGGTCTGCCCCTGGAGTGCCAGGCAAGGGCAAAGGCTGAGAACTGGCATGGAGGGGCAAGAGAAGGCACTCAGTACTCAGGTGGCCAAGACAGGAGAGAAGACAGGCTATCTACCTCCTTGAGCTTATCTGCCTTCTGTATCCTGGATCCTTACTGATCACCCATCATAATACCACAGAGAAAAGCTGCCTTGGAGCACAAGAGAATTTCCAAGAAAAACAACATTCTTCTCTTTCTTGGGTCTTGATCCATCTTCACTGGACTGAGCTAGAAAAAGACCGGGCCAGGTCTAGAAAATATCTCATCCCTCACTGGGACTTTGAGCAGGGAAAATGGCTTTTTAATAATGTATAGAATTATTTTGACATCACCAACTATTCTATCAGATGAACCAAAGGAATGGCTTCAATAAAAATGCAGAAAAGAAACAGTTGCTTGAATTAAGGCACAGTAAGAAAGATTCCAACAACTACAAGTCTGAGGAATGTCTGTGGTTTTGGCTCTTTTATTTGAGATCTTGGATTAAAGATTCAAGCCCAATGGAAACTCTCTGGGTTGACTTTTCATTGATGAAGTTGAGGATGCTTGGATCATTAGATACCTCCAGCTCCTGTTGGCTCTGGAGCTCTCTAGCTGCTCATTGTGTGGACAGTAGTGTGTTACATTTTAATTCTCCCAACCTACCCTCAGGTCAAACACACTGAGCACTCTGTCTCCTGAAAATCTGTTGATCCCAGCTCCAACCACAGGCACACAGTTGGAGTGCTGTACGGCACACCCCATTCATTATTTCATTTTAGTCTATCAATAAGGATGTGCTATTGTGCTGCGTTTTTCAAATAAGGAAATGGATAGGCAGTTAGGTGACTTCCCTGAGTCCTTGGTGCTCTGATCAGAGAAACTAGCTCCGCGGTAATGCATAGAACAACTGTAGGCAGAAAAGAGAGAGTTGAGGATCAGATTCCAAATTTTCAGAATCCCTTTCCTCGAGTTTCTCCTTTCTTTAATATTCACTTTTGTATTGAGTCGAGATTTATATTATGAAAAATTAGGCACTTTAAGTTATACAATTCGGTGGCTCTTGGGACATTCACAGTGCTGGAGAAATACCACCTCTATCTAGTTCCAAAACATTACCAACACCCTGAAGGAGATGTCTAGCTGTGTAAGCAGTTATTACCCAAGATCTTCTCCCCAGGCTCCATGATCACTAATATTTTTTTCTCTGTATATGCTTTTACATATTCTGTACTTTTCATTAAAATCTAGCCAGGCCGCTATGAGCTTTTCAGTGACTTCTTTAACTTTGCATAATATTCATAATGGTCATCCTTATTGTTGCTGTATTCATCCACTTAGGATTTTTTTTCCACCAAATAGATTTCATGCCTTCTTGGAAATCAGTTTATTATGGATGTATGGGGTTATTCTGGCTTGCGGGTTCTATTATATCGGAAAGTGTATTTATCATTAGGCTAGGGCACATCGCCTTAATTGTTGTAGTTTTGTACTGAAGTCTTATAATAAATGTGAATTCTCCAATTTTTTCAGTGTGTGTGTGTGTGTGTGTGAGAGAGAGAGAGAGAGAGAGAGAGAGAGAGAGAGAGAGAGAGAGAGAGTAGGAGTTCAACCATTGGACTATACTAGCCAAGCACTCACCACTGAGGTAAAAACCCTACCCACTGTTTCTTCCTTGTCCCACTTCTGCTAAAGTTATTCAAGGTTCTTCACAAATACACATAAATTTGAGTGTGGGGTCTATCATTTCTACCAAAAGCATCCTTTTAATTTTGGTAGACTTACAAGGTGTCTTTCCATCTATTTGTGTCATAATAGACATAAGAATGACTCCCTGTGTTCATGAATAACATACTACACAGAATTTTCTATAAGTGCAACATAATCCCACCAGCCTTGAAAGGACTATTTTTGCAAAACTGGTAGACCCAGTACTAAAAGTCATGTACTTTTGCAAGGAACCCTAAACAGCTGTTGCAAAAGTGGGACAAGAAAGGAAAGTTGGGCTGGATATGTAGCTCAGCATGGTGGTAAAGCACTTGACTACCATGTGAGAGGAACTGGATGAATTATGAGAGAGAGAGAGAGAGAGAGAGAGAGAGAGAGAGAGAGAGAGAGAGAGAGAGAGAGGAATAAAGTTGGAGAATCTACACTTATTTCAGAAAGTTTATTCCTATGTATCTTATGATTTTTGGTGCTATTATTTATTTGATTATTTTTAATTTGCTTCTACCCTAATTTGATTATAATGTCTCAATTTTAGTATTTTGGTTTCATCCTATTTAGGTTGTTGAAATTCCTGGATGTGTCTACTCAAGCATTTCATCAGATTCTGGAAGTTTTGGGCCGTCATTTCTTCAATTTATCTCTCTCCCTTTCCATATCACTGGGGGGAGGGGGCTGCCCCTTAGCTCAGTTCTTTAAGTGGCTGCTTCAACAAAGCAGTCAAGCTCAGGTTGCTGTGGTTCGATCCCCACAACTCAAGCCAGCCAAACCTGCCCTAAAAAGGCATTCGGGGCAAAAAAAAAAAAAAAAAAAAAAAAAAAAATCCTTATCCCTTTCCATATCATGTTTCTCCCTCCTATAATGTAAGGTTGACAAGCATGATGGTGTCTCATAATTTTTACTGTGCTATGCCCTTTCCATCATTTTTCCCTTACGCTTCTCAGGTTCAATGGTGTTAATTGTTGTTATAGTGTAGACGAATATCCCAAAAGTTCATGTGTGATACACTTAGTCACCAGTACAGTACTGATGGGAAGCAGCACAGGGCATTGTCAGACCTATGCTCTCACTCTGGTTTTTTAAAATAATTATTATAGGTCCTTAGTACACAGTGATTGTACCCTCTTTGTTTCCTGGTGGATGACTTGAGCAATTTGCTCCCCTAAGCACACCCATTGTGATGTGCAGTCAACTTGGTCATTACTGCACCTTACAAAATTACAGATCAAAGCATATCTTTTGTGTTTCTAAGTCAAATTGCCTGAGGTATTTCTTTATAGCAATGGAAAGTTTGCCCACACAATTCGCATATTTCAGGTGCTGGGACTACTTTCTCTTCTTCAGATCCACTATTTAAAACCCCTAGTTAATTTTTCATTTTATTTATTATCATTCTTCCAGTTTTTTTAGTTCCTTTGCATTGTTTCCATACTCTCTGAATATATTTAATCATACGCTTCAGATTTTAAATATGTTTGTCACGTAACTCAGTAGTGTACCAAATTTTCTGATCAAGGAGATTATGGAGCAAAAGAGGAAAGTGATTGAAGATGTAGAGTGTGCCTAAGGAGAGTCACATGGAGAGAAAACATTCTCTCAGGCTTTCACAGAGAGCACATTGGCCAAGCAATGACTGTGACTTATCCACATGGCTGACACAGACAAAGGATCTACAATCTGAGGTATAGGATCTCAGGATAAATCCTGAGGGGATTTCACTGATCCTATCAGACCCAAAAACTACAACTCTTGTTGCATATGTATTGTTTTTTCTTGGTCTTAACCATCCAGCAGAAAAGTATAAAAACGAAATATAAGTAAAGCCATGCTGTTATGTTGAGCTGTGGGGGACTCAGGTCAACAATTTCTGAAATTGCCAGTGAAGTGGAAGACCCAATACTATTATGGACTACTGTACTCTTTTAGAATATTTTGCTGAGTTTACACACCTATAATATTCAACTAACAGAACTTAACAAAAAAAGGGTATATAGATGAATATCCATTTTGTATCTGTGTATTCAAAGTGGTTAAGATAGATATATAGTTACACTCTTTTAATGAATAGAGGAATTTGTTCTAATGGTGTTTGCAAATAGGATATCATATCTGCATCTTGTACAGCAATTAACCACTAGGAAGAATGTATGCAATGTGTTAATTATTGAAACTGTCCTACCAATTTGATTTGAAACTGTCTCATTGCTATTTGTTTATCAATAAAATTATGGGGAAAAAATAAATAAATAAATATGTTCAAATTAATTTTAATCTTCCTGCAATAAATTTAATGTCTGCTTCCTCAGGACTGTTCTTGTCGGCACGCGTATTGGCTGCTCGGGCTGCGGGCCGGCTCCGCCAAGCGCCCTGCCTAGCCGCTCAGTGCACGGTCGTCGGGTGTCCCCGCTGCCGCCTGCACCGTTGCAGCCACCTCGCCTCGACTGCCGCAGTGCCCTGCCCTGCCTCCACCGCTGCCCGCACTGCCGCCACCTAGGGACCAGCTATACTATTAGGCCACAATCTTCAATGAGTAAACATATTCCTCAGTTCTGTGGTGCTCTCGCTCACACATTTATGGAATTTCTGAAGGGCAGTGGAGATTACTGCCAGGCACAGCGCAAGCTCTATGCAGATGAGTGAACTGTAGAGATTCCTAATTGCTCCACCAAGAAGCCCCCAAAAGAGCGGCTCACCTGGACACAGAAGTGGTGAACTGAAGTGTAGAGCAGTTTACAGGAGCTCTGACCTGGATGGGGTAAACCTCAGTCACTTCCTATTGCCTCAGTTACTGGCTCCAAGGGTTGCTGCTTCTGTTGGGAGGTTCACTGCATTTCCCAGCACTCCCCACACTACACGCAAAACGCTGAAAAGTTCAAGCAGAGAACATTGGAGTAGACTTCAGTTCCTTCATTCCTTGAAGTCGACTTCAGTTTCTTTTATTTCAGTTTTAAAATTCTTAAGTAACCCTTTTGAGTGTTTTTGTAACTAAATTAACATGGCTCGAATGAACCGCCCAGCCCCCGTGGAAGTCACATACAGAAGCAAGAGATTCCTCATCACTCACAATCCAGCCAATGCAATCTTAAACAAGTTTATAGAGGAACTTAAGAAATACGGAGTTACCACAATAGTAAGAGTATGTGAAGCAACGTATGACACTGCTCATGTGGAGCAAGAAGACATCCATGTTTTTGGTTGGCCCTTTGATGATACAGCGCCACTGTCCAACCAGATTGTCGAAGACTGGTTAAATCTTGTGAAAGCTCAGTTCTGTGAAGAACCTGGTTGTTGTATTGCTGTCCACTGTGTTGAAAGCCTTGGGAGAGCTCCATCACTGGTTGTCCTAGCATTAATTGAAAGTGGAATGAGATACAGAGATGCAGTACAGTTCATAAGACAAAAGTGGTGCGGAGCCTTTAACAGCAAGTGACTTTTATGTCTGGAGAAGTACTGTCCTAAAATGCAGCTGTGACTTAAAGATTCCAATAGTCACAGGAACAACTGTCACACGCAATAAAAGTGGGGTGCCTGATGCTACTGCCTTGGACACGGAGCTCAAGGCAGGACCTGATGTCGTTCCTATTGGCCCATACGTTGGCTTGGTGAGTAAGTCTAGTGAAACTTCCGTAAGAGCTCTGAAAATCAGTTACACAGGCTACAGACAAACGTGAGAGATTGCAACCTCTGTGTTTGGGTTGTGATTGATGTATTTTGACAATTACAAGACTCTTGCTGCTCAACATTTAAAATGTGCTTATCATTTGTATAAATTGACTTCCCTGAAATCATGCAGTATTGAGTTATGGCTTTAAGGCTATTCCCATGCCAGAATCTTAATGATATATAAGAAAATTAGAAAGATTAGGTGCCAAAATATCCAGCGCAATACTCTTACATTTTTAGTACCATACAGAACCGACTTACAGGAACTAGGAACACTCTAGACCTGAAGTTTGTCCCTTCAGTCCTCCAACGTCGTAGGGCCTGTGTGGCTATTTGCTTGCTCACTCTGTGCTTATATCTCTCCTACTCATACCAGTGTGCATCAGGCTTGCTTAAACATTGACTGCTGTCTTGTGGTGATTATTGAATGTCTTTCTGTAAGTTTCTTTTGTGTTCTTGTGAGAAACCTCCATCTTGCAACTCTACATTGTTATAGAAGCGCATGTCTTTAACATCTCAGACAAAACACCTTACGGTTCACTTAATGCCTGCACTCTGAGGTGCTGCCTACCTGGGAGGGCCTGAAAACAGTCTGGAAGGGGGCTGGTCATTATTTTTAGTAAACTGTTGCCTTTTTCTTATGCAGAACATGTAAAACATGCTCTTCGGTAAATATTTTTTAAAGGTATACATGCTTCATTCTTGTAGCTAAAACAATTCTTAATTATAAAAAGTTCTGAAATTCTTACAATTTTTTCCACACTTATAAGTTGTTCACCAACTTATTTTTGTTTGAGGTATGATTTTTTCCATTCTTTGCCCAACTTCTTACAAAAAAAGAAAGGTGAGTTTCTGCTAAGGAATTGGGCAGACAATATCTGATATGCCCTTTGAGTTGTGTAACTTAATATTTGGGTACTTCACATTGTTTTATGATATAACTGATAAAATGGTGATGTGCATCAATGTTAGTTCAGCCATCCATGTGACCGTCTGAATTTATACCATGTGGTTACAATTCTGTGGGAGAAATAATTTGTTAGTGTTCACAGCTTGTAAAAACTTAGTGTGAGAGCTTAAAACATCTAATAAATAGTGAAATGCAAAAGAAAAAAGGACAGTTCTTGATCATTTCTTTCTTTGATAAACAAGGCACACTTTATTGTTCTTGTATGTCTTACAAATTTTTGTTCAAAAATGAGAAATTTGAATATTACAATGTGGTAACTGCAAAAGTCAGACTATTCTCTTCAAACTTTTCACTGCTCCTTGCTGTGAGTTGAAATCTCCTGGTAATGACCTTCCCGAATTGTTTCCAAAGATCATTTCTTTGTTGTGTGCCATATCTGAAGTGGATATATATATATATATATATATATATATATATATATATATATATTTATACTGCTCATGGTCAGCTGTGTTTGGGGAGATTGCCTAGAGTCTGAAGCACCTTTCTTCCCCTCCACAGCACCCAAAAAGGAAATGCTTTCCTTGTAGTTGCAAGTGGGCTCTGTACTAGGGCACTCTTTCACACTGAACCAGTCCTTATACAACCCTACCATCTACTTCACTTTCTCTATATGCTCAACCTTAAAGCATCTGGAGGTGAAGCATTAGATCTTCTCAGATCTCCTCTTAGTCTGTATCTTCCCCTGGCATACGCACGGCATTCTAGGTTTTCTACTGTATGCTGGAGCTTTTCCAGTCCCTTAATCTTCAAAGCAGCTCTCCATCTTTCCCTTCCCAGCCATTATCTTATCTTTTGCTTGACCCAGGTCTCAGCAGCATGTTTTGTTATTTCCCGGTGTTCCCAAGAAGCACTTCCTGCTAACCACTCTTTCCACACTGAGATAGTCCCATGTTAGGCAAAATAAAGGCCTAATTGTGTCAGTCCTTCACGAAGACCTTGGTCATGTCAAAACAGACACACCACATACATTTTCCTCTCTGTAAACCTAGGGGCCCATAACAGAATGCAGGACACCTTCTTCAAGACTATCTCCATGCTAGAAAAAAGTGAGATAATGCTAAGTTCAAATGCCAGAAAGCTCTTCTGCTGGATTTAAATTGCTTTTTGCTCTAATGAATTTTGTGGAGCCATAGCAAACTTTGAAATTTTTCCAGAGTTCTGAAAAAAGTTGATTCCCACATCCTTTCTCACTTCCTTTTTTAGTTTTTTGTGTTTCCCAGAGGAGTAGCTCTTGGAGCTCCCTACACTGTTATTGTTTCAAGTCCATCTCCCCCACTTTCTTCTTGACTAGAAACTGTTCTTCAAAATTTACTAATGATTAATAAGAAATAAATGAAGTCACCTTTTATGCCACCTCATCAAAGCAGAGAGGTCAAACCCCATGTGCATAAACATCTCTTTTTCTCACTCAGCCTGGTGGGTGAAGACTCATAAGAACCATGAGTGTGTAGTATGTCAAAGATCACCAAGACCCTGAATTGCAGAGCTACTGAGCATCAGAGAGAGGATTTACAATCAGATCAACTCTTCTGGTCATCTGTTTTATACAAATGAGGTCTACAAGCTCCACAGATTGTGTTCCTTCCTCTTTTCTCTTCCTTACACACTTAAACTCTTCCTGTGAAGGCTCAGAACATAGCATGTCATGCAAGGACAGGAGAGAAGCTCTTTGGTTTTGGTCAGGTCAGAATGAACAGTCTTCTGCCCTGATATTTGAAAATTTAAAAACAAGAAGGATTTGGTGTGCTATAGCTCCAAAAAATTTAAAAGCACAGAAAAATTTTAAAAGTTGACATGTCAATTCTTTATGGCTTTTCTTTCAGCTAGTCTTGAAAACATTGTTTTTCTTAAGGAATAAAACAGTTGGTGTTTATTTTGTATTGCTTATTAGAAGTGTGATTTGAAAAACAAACTGATTTTCCAGCTGCTCAGTGATTAAAATGTTTGACAATTTATGTATTTATCTTTGACAATAAATATGTCCTTTCATGTTTTTAGGCTAAGCCCAGCAACTCTCAAGCTCTCAGGCCACTCAGGATGAATTTCTAAAAGATGCCTATTGAGGTAATTTGAGATGAAACTGAAAATGAGCCCTTCAATTAAATTACAACCCTTCCTAAGTTATTTAAATTGCAGTAGTAAATCGGTAACATTTCCAGGTGAACTGCATTCTGTTCCAAAATGGACCTTTCCTGTGATCCTGAGGCAGGGTTTCACACAATAAATTGTTTAGAAAGGGAAAGTTTGGGCAGTTCTTGACATGTGGAATTCCTTTGTGGTTTTGATTCTTGTTCTTTTTGGTGTTTGTATCATAGAATCATCTACCACTTTAAAGTTAAAAAAAAAAAAGATGGTCAGTGGAGAAGGAACAACTGGAGTTTAAATCCTTCACAGTAACTGACTCTTGGGTACACAGGCCTGAGCAGGGCCTAGAAATGCAGGAATGATCGTTTTGCAAACAGAATCACCCCCAGGTATAGTGTTCAAATTTGTTATCTGAAGACACTCTCTAAATTCTTTCATTGCTCATTTGTGAACCAGTTCCCATAGTTAGTAAAAACTCTATTTCTAAATACATGATTCCTTACCATGAGAACTTTAGCCAAGTTCAGCAGCACCAAAAAATGAAGGAAGTGACCATTTACCTCAGGAGGCCTAGGCCATAGAATTCCAGTCTAGTTAATTGCCAGACCAAAAAGCCAAGTGGGGACATTAGGCCTGAAATGGAGTCAGGAAAGAGAATCAAAGAAGAATTGATGGAGTATCAGTCCCTAGAGGAGTATCCATGGAAATTAAAAACACTCTTTACCTGAAGAATGGTCTGAAAAGTCACAGCCACATGTAGAAATCCTGCACACTTGAGATGTCTCAAGTCAGGCCATCCACACCACTCAGTCAATAGATGGGCTGAGGAGACCAACATCAGCACCTTTTCCAAGGTTTCTGGGTACTTCTAGTGAAAAGAGTCCAGGGAAGGGGACTCTATAGAACGCTCAAGAGGCTGAGACCTGCACAGGTGACCCTTAGAAATATGTTTGGGAGAACACTGGGGGCAGGATTCCCAGGAGCTGGATCAGTCATTGGTGATGCCACACTTACTTTTCTCATTCCTGAGACAAAATACCTGACACCCAAAGTTGAGGGAGGAAAGGTTCATTGAGCTCATAGTTTGTAGAGGCTTTCAGTCCATGATCAGCTGGCTTCAAGGCATGGTGGCTTGGCAGAGAGGCACCAGTTCATCACAGCAAAAGACAGCAACAGAAGAGAGAAATTTGTCTTATCTTATATGCAGGCTACACACACACACACACCCTGCAACTATAGCACTCACACCCTTAATCCCTACATTGGATCATGAATCAGTCACAAATTCTAGATTCAGCCACCTCTCAAAAGCCTGCCTCCCAGAACTGCATAAGGCTTTCAGGGGAATTTAAACACAAATCATAGCATTCTTCCCCTGCCACCCCTAACGACTCCTGTATGTGACTTTATTCAAAAGGCATTTAGCCTATCTCTAGGAGCTACCAAAGTCCTAACAGTTTTAGAATCACTGAAAAGTCCAAACTCTAATTTTCCTCTGAGATTTAAGGCAAACTCTTAGCTATACAAATGAAAACAAAGTTAAGCACTTCCAACATTCATGCACAAGATAGACATTCCATTCCAAAAGTTAAAAGCAGAGGGATAAAAAGGAAGCACCCAAAACAAGTTCAAAATCCAACAGGACACATACTACATTCTCTAGTTCCATGTGCAGCATCTGACACAGTCTGTGGAAAGTTGTAAGCTAC